CTGGAATGAAAAATAAAAAGGTTTTAAACAAACTGTGAAAATTAAAGTTTTATTTTGTTTGTTTGTTTAGCGGCATATCAATTCCTTATGGGTCATTTGATGATGAAATTTAATTTTCTTGAGAACATTAGTAATTTTACTTACAAAAATGTATTGCTGGTGATATTTTTTTTTTACAAAACATATTGTTGGCATTTTTTACTATAAAAATGTATTTTTATACTTTCATAGTGTTTTGACACCAATTTGGGGTTAACTATTTACCCATAGCTGGGACCCTAACAGGAGCTACCACCCTGGGTCAGAGTGGACCTAGAAACAACAGCAATTAAGAGGTGGTTCCATGCTCCTCAAAACCTCACAATCAAAGGCTTTGTTGCCAGATGTAATTTATTATCATACCCAGGAAAGTAAAGTTTTATATTGTATCAAAAATATTTTTGTAGATTAACTTACAACAGTTAGTAATGTAGTTTTACTTACAGTTATTACCATAATGAGTTACTGGTGCTCAAAATTTATCACATTGTGCCAGCCTAACTAAAAAGTGCATTGTCCATAAGCAATGGGGTAGTTGGACATCTAACTGAATGGACATTTAACCAAAAACGTAGTGGCGTACTTACATCTATGTCACACTCTTTATCATAATGTGCTACATATATTTATATTTATTTACTGGATTAATTTATAATTTTTCGTTTTTACAGACTTTTTTAAAAATCTATTCTGTATATAATATATTTTACTTCAAATATTACTCTAAGACAATAAGTATTTTGAGAAAAAGCACATTTTACTACAGCAGAAATCTTAAGCTTTTACAATGTGAAAGATCTTTCAATTTCGCTTTATTGATCATCTTGAAGGGATGAACTAGCTTTTATCTTACTTTTAAATATGAATTTTAATAATTAGGTGCTACTTTTTACACTCAAATATTTTAAAAAATACTAATTTCAAAAACAAATGTTGAAATAAGAAAACTTTTAAGTTTAAATTTAGATTTAGTAATTTAATCACTTGAAATTCAGTGGTAATTACTAGTCCTATTCTACCTTATAATACTGTTAATTAAAATACTTAAAGTATTGCTTGTTACTATTTTTACTTGTACTTTATCGGTGAAATGTCTGTCAGCCAAATGTCCGTTCGGTGAAATGTCCGTTGGCCAAATGTCCGTTTGGTGAAATGTCTGTCGGCCAAATATCCGTTCGGTGAAATGTCCGTTGGCCAAATGTCCGTTCGGTGAAATGTCCGTCGGCCAAATGTCCGTTTGGTGAAATGTCCGTCGGCCAAATGTCCGTCCGGCTAGATGTTATCGTCCAAATATCCGTTGAACAAATGTCTGTCAGCCAAATGTCTGTTGGCAAAATATCTGGCCATGAGCAATGGTTACCAAGCCAGATTTAATGACAATTAGTACTATTATAAGTTTGATTCACACTGGTACTTCAAACATGTGACCTTCTGTCAAACTAGCTAAATAATGCACTGCTGAAGGTGCTATGGTTAGTAAGCTAGTCTTCTTGATATTTCTGACTGATGCTTCATGGTTGTAGTGTTGTGCCAGACTACATCAAGGCAAATGTTAGTAAGCAAGACTTACTGACATTACTATGACAGAGAGTTTGATTTTGACTTATGCTTCATGCTTGTAGCTTTGTGCAGTACTAGAACAACAGTGCCCTGCAAGTAGCAATAGTTAACTAGCAAGTTTTACTAAATGTTACTACTACAGAGATTTTGATTCTGAGTGATAGCTCATTCTTGTAGCTTTGTGTCAGCCTGGGAGGAATTGTTAGTAAACAAGTTTTACTGATAATTACTATCACAGTGTGTTTGATCTTGACCCTCAAATCACAAACCAGTTTTGATGACCATTAACTGTGACAATGTTTTAATCATCATTCTTGACAAATATGGCCCTCCACAACTTTCTGCCCTTTGTAGCTCTTAACATGGTTTGTGCTTTTGCAGTCCTTCTTAATCCCTGTTCTGCTAACCATTTACACAAGCATGTTAGGTAGGTTATTTCTTTCTTCTGTGTCTCGCACCTTCAGCATGTCTTGTGAGTATCAAATTCTTCAAGCTCTCTTTCCTCATTATTATATTGTCCTCATTACTCACATGTTCAGTCTATGGGATTTTTAGTATCTTTCTGCAGAACCACATTTCTGTTATCTCATGTCTCTTCTTCATCTGTCAGGAGATTGTTCAGCATTCATTGCCATATAGGAAGAACAATATTTCATAACAGTTCAATACTCAGTACTCTTTTCTTTGTTAGTAATAACATTTTCCTGTTTCTTAATACTTTGTTTAATTTTTGGAAAGCATCTTTTGCTATTCCAATGTGTTTTTGGATTTTGATGTCAGTCAGTTATGTGCCATGTGTGATACATGCTGAAACGATCATGTATCTTTTGATACATGACTGACGTGGCACATATTTTTCCTGCAGTAGGTTGCCATTTTTTTCTGTGGTAGACCAGTTGCTATCCAAGGTTATAGAACCTGTCTGTCCTACTATTTACCCATAGATGGAGGGAGAAGAAGGGGATTCATACCTTTTCTAAGGGTATTAGCACAAGTGAATGTAATGGATTTGACTGGAATTTGAACTCAGCTCTCTGATTCCTCAATTTGAACTGCTTTCCATTACTCCATTGTGCCTCCTTTTTGATGTCACATTTTCTATTAACTTAAATTATCTTCCTTTATGAATTGGTTTACATCTGACACTTGCAACAAAGAAATCCATACACGTATCACTACAGTAGCAATGGCCAAACTTGAAAGGGTATGGAAGAGTAATGTCAGCTTCTGTAACAAGTTCATGATCTACAAATCGCTGGTCGTATTCATCCTCCTCTATGGGAATGAGACATAGACACTCCTGGGTGAGATTGAAAAAAAATCTAGGTTTTTGAGATGAAATGATTGAAAAATCTCCTCTGCATCTTCTACTGGGAGCACAAAATCAATGACCATGTATAGACTAAGGTCAGAAGTCTTGTGGGCTGACAGGAATCTTTTCTCATCACTATTAAACATCAAGATGTCATGGTTTGGCAACATCACACAGAATAACAGCCTCTGCAAGAACATCATGTAAAAGTTGAGATTCAATGCAAAAGCTGGTCAGACAATATCAAAGAGTGGATGGTCACAACAATGCCAGAACATCTAAGAGTCACCACCAACAGATCATCCTGGAGGAAGTGGTCTGTTTTTTTTTTGCACTTAGGTCCCCCTAATGATTTAAACAGTCAAAGGACTGATGATGATGATGATGATGATGATGATTACATCTGGTGAGATTTATAAATCTGACATTGTTTTAATTTTTGAAAGAGAATTTGTAGTTTGGAGATGATATAGAAACTGCTGAAAGACAATGGGCTCATCATAAAATTTAAATTTTCTTCTTCTTTCTAATTTATTGTAAATAAGATTATAGTATTGAATCTGAAACATGGAACAGATTAGAATATTTCTCTTGTTTGTCTATTGTACCTTCAAAATTGCAAGGTTTCAAAAAAAAAAATATGGGAGATAGAACCAGTGAAAAATTTGAATTCTATACACTTTGGGTAAAATATACAATTGCTCAGACCAATGCACTCCCATCAAAAGTGATGCCTTCAACCAGTGATAAACCCAGCAACAGAGACTAACCCTCAATTGCTAGAATGTAATAATTTATGGAATATTTCTCCCAGGAATCTATCTCACTCAACATCATATACATATTGATTTTCTCTCATGAGTATATCTCTACTACAACCTTGTGTTATAGCCTGAACTAACTCTCAGTCTCCTAACTTATAAACAATAACCCGGTACAGTCAAGTGATCAAACCTTGTAATTTATGGAAAATAAAAAACTCTTCCTTATCTCAACCGCATCTTATATTCTTTTGTTGTTTTGTCAGTGACACCTTTTGTTCCATTTAACAGTATTTCTACTATTACAAGCGAAATTAATATCAAAGTGGTTTTTCCAATTGCTAACTCATTAACACTCTTCTCTCTCAGTTGTTGTGGCATGCCAATAACAAGACTGTGTGAATTGAGCTACCTAAAATTTTTTCACTGACATCTTACAGTAGTTGACAATGAACAAAGTAGTGAGGTCAATGATTCTTAATTGCTACAAGCCTTATATTTTCTCTGTATTTTGTCCACTGTACCCTTGAAATTGAAAAATTTCTTTTCTACAAATGCCATTAGGGAAAGGCATGAACCATTCTTTCCCTGTGCATTCTCTCATTGAGACCTTACAATGGTTGACAGTGTAATGAAGTCAAGGATTCTTAATTGCTACAAAATACCTGTCTTGTATTAGTTGGAGAATAGACAGACACTGACAAATAAATCTACTTAATAGAGAGATGCCAGGATATAAAATTCCATTATGACATTCTGATGATTCCTGAGATCCTTCTTCCAACCAAAACCAAACATTGCCTATATTGGTTTTAATGTTAATTAAGATCCGAGAGCTAGATTGAAATAAAATAAAAAATGAAACTAAATCACTTAAACATGATATGCAGATGTTTTTCTGTTATTGAATTTTCAATTTCTTTCACAGTTTATAATTAGACAAGAGCTTCTTTTATTTTCCGCATTGTTTTTAAGGGCTCTCTTCTCTTGCTGGATTAGCTACGATTTGAACATTTAAATGAACAGAATAAATGAAAAATGTTCATTTGTAAGTGGAAAGTGAAATTAAGATGCTAGAATTGTGTTTGAATTGCCATACATTCTAGGAAAGATAGTGGAATAGTTTCCAGCTACTTTAATTACATTTTTGAAATTCAGGGTTTCTCTTTTCTTAGATTAGTTGCTTCCTATGTTGAGGCTAAGGAGTTCAATATACCCTGCTATTTAACCCATATCTGGGGGAGAAAAATTGGATTCATACATTTCTCAAGAATATTACTGTGAAAGTGAATGCAACAGCATTGGGCAGAGTTTAAACTCAGCTTACT